AACCTCTTTGTGATTGTTGTTATTATGCCTCAGTACATTGTACCTTATTTTATAATACTTTATTTGTAAATCTTAATTGCCCTGCTAGATTATAAGTCCCATGAAAGCCAGGACCACATCTTACTTATCTTTTAAATTTCATTGTCTTAGATTTTTTTCTTAGATGTTATTACTCAGTAACATCTGTTGAGAAATGAAAATGAATAGCTTGACTATCTTAAGTGCACAAAAGATTTGCCTGAGTTCTGAGGACAGCTGAATTGTATAGCCTTGAGCCCATTGCCTAGTCCCTAAAATAAATCTGATTGATAATGTCTTCCCTCTTGCCTGCAAGGATATTTTGAGGTGAAATTGGATTAGACACAACATTTTGAGCTTTCCGGAGATAGAATTACATGAGGCACTTTGCCTCTCAGTGGTTGCATAATTTAGTTAGATGTCATCTTGTACCGGAGTCCACGTTCATATGAAGACTTTGTTGCAAGCTTTCTCTACAAAAATTAATTAATTAATTAATGATTTAGCCTTTCTTGTGATTTTGAAATTATTGAAGAGATTTCAAGTCAAAAATGTATCTGGGAACTAAGTTCATTCCCTCTTTCTATCACCTGTTGTTCTTTTCATGGGCCTGGAGAAAGGCATTTCCTTCTTTCTGATCATTTCTGGCTTTTGTCAGAATATGTTCCACTATTGTATGAAATTATAGATTTATTTAGTTTTAGTGTTAATACTGTGTTCAATACTGTTTTGTATGAGATATGAACTTACACATATTTAATATTTACTGTTAAATGATATCCTTAGAATCATGGTGTGGCACTGTAGGATAATCACTGTACTGCTAACTACCAGGTCGGAGGTTCAAACTCACCCGGCGCACCTCGGAATCCCTATACAGGGTCCCTGTGAGTTGGAACTTACTCAACAGTGCACAACAACGGCAAGTAAATTTAGCACCAACAGTGTCTGATCTATAATTGAGGATCAGTATATAATTGTGCAATAAATTAATGCATCAACCAGTGTCCACACTGTGGATTGCTCCAGTATTTCAGACAGGTATTTTTCCCAGCTTTTCCTTCATTACTATCAGTGGTGAGGATAATTCACTCATTCCCATTGTCAGCAAATGTAATCATTATCCAGTGCCACCTTAGACTTCTCTGAAACCTTCTCTGATTCTTTTGGGCAGTTTGTCAATTATGTGCTATATTCTTCAAGCATCTCAGTCATACTTCTGTACATTATAATATCCTGTTGCTGAGGTGTCTTCTATCCTAGACTGTGAGCTCCTTGAAGACAGAAAAATGTCTGTTTTTTTCTTTGTGCTCCCAGATGGTAATGTAGTACATACAACATGGACAAAAGAGTGGGAGGAAGGAGGCAGAAAAAGTTAAGAGGAAAGAACCATAGTAACAGAGAGTACAAGTATCGATGGTATCCCTGGGGTGTGTGTGTGTGTGTGAAATAGAGGAATAGATTTCAAACTAAAGCTGGTAGACCAAAGAATCATCTATTGAGATTCAAGATCAATTTTTGTGTGTATTTTATACTACACATATTAAATTACCATGTGGTGATGGTTATGTGCTGTGGAGTTGGTTCCGACTCATGATGACCCTATACAGGGTTTCCAAGGCTGTAAATCTTTACAGGAGCAGAAAGCCTCATCACTGTCCTACAGAACTGTGGTAGTTTTGAACTACTGACCATGAGGTTAGCTGCCCAACTCATAACCACTATGCTACCAGAGCTCCTTAAATTACTGTGTATTTGTGTTTAATTTATAATATTTTTGCTGAAAGGCAAATATCCAAAAGTTTTCTGATAAAGATGCAAATCAAACATTTGAAAACCTTTAGCATAGCTGTTTGTCAGGTACTATGCTAAAGCATAAAGGAGCTCTGGTAGCATAGTGGATTACAACCTGGGCTGCTATCTGCAGTGTCAGCAGTTCAAATCTGCCAGTCGCTCCATGGGAGATAAATGAGGTTAATTATTCCTGTAAAGATTTACAGCCTTGGAAACCCTATACAGGGTTGCTGAGAGTCAGAGCCGACTACAAGGCACACAACTACCGCCATAATTAACATAAAGAGCCCTTCTGCTGCTGTGGTTAAGAGCTCACTAGATAACTTCAAAGAGCACTTGTTCAAACCTACGCAGCCCCTGCACGACAGAAGATACCTGGCAATCTGCTCCCATAAAGATTTCAGCTTAGAAATCTCTGTGGGACAGTTCTGCTTTGTCACATGGGGTTGCTATGAGTTAGATCAACAGTGGCACACAACAACAACAATATGCTAAGCATTTTATAGCATTTCATTTATTGTTTACGGCCGCAGAGTCGGTTCCGACTCATCGTAACTCTCTGTAGGGTTTCTGAGGAACTATTGATGGTTTGGACCACTGACCTTGCCGTCCAGTGCTTATCCTGCAGTGCCACACCAGGGCTCATTTCAGCCCACTAAAAATCCTGTGAGTTATTTTCTATTATGCCCATTTTACAGATGAAGAACTGGAGCACAGAGGTTAAGTACTTTGCCCAATCACATACATTTAAGGAATGGAAGGAAGGGAGCAGAGTAAATGTTGGCTGTAAGGCCCAGATTTAGATCTGTCTAGCCAAACTTCCTCATCCGCTGTGTGTTTTCTGTGGTAGCACCTAGCCTTGTGACTGTGGCACAGTGTACAGACTCTGGGTTATAAATTAGGTGAACTAGTCACACTAAGTACGTATGAAAGCTATTCTCTGTAAGACAAATTATGAAGGAGAAAATGAAACTTAACTTTTCCATTTTAAGAGCATGTATTGATAATGACAGGCCAGATAACATACATGTGCCACTGTAGGATAAGCATTGGATTGGTAACTGCTAGCTTGTATTCTACTGGTAACCACTAGTGCTTAAATGACTCGCTGGCACACAACAAATCTGTTCACAAGACTGTTCAACCGTAACTGTTATCAAATTTCAGAACGTTTTCATCACCCTGAAAAGAAACCCTGCATTCCTTAGCAGTAACTCTCCATTCTTCCATATACCCAACCTCCGATGAAGTCCACTTCAGTCTATGTCTCTCTGGATTTGTCTTTTCTGGACATTGAATATCAATGGAATCATACAATATGTGGTGTTTTATGCCTGACTTCTTGTACTTAGTATAGTATTTTAAGGGTTCATCCATGTTGTAGCAGATATCAGTACTCTGTTTCTTTATGTATATATGAATAATATTTTGTTATATGTATGAGGAGACTTCAAAAAGTTTGTGAAAAATGGGGTTGACAGGTAATGGAATTTTTCCATGAACTTTTAGAAGCCTCCTTGTATACTAGTCCTGGAAAACATTTTGACAATTAGACTTAGCATTTGCTACCATTTTTGTTTTAGGCCATAGAGAAGGAAAGCAAAGGTCTGGAAATTCTATTGCTAATTTCTGTCCTGTACATTGAAAGAATATTCTTGATAGCCTTTAAAGATGATTTCTAGGAGTGGTCTTGATAGAAACATATGTCTGGGATATTACATCTATAGTATAGTCCACTTCATATAGGAGTTTATTGTAGCCACGAGGCGTTTCTGGCTTTCAGACCTCACAACTCCCATCTTACTATAAATCGAATGTATTTGCTCATAATGTTCAGGATGAAATCCATCAATTCCCTTATATACTGGAATTTTTGTGTTTTTATGGAAAGTGATTTTTTTTTTTTTTAAGCTGCTTTGAATTTTCATTTATTTGATCAGTCAAAAAATGCTGGCTGAACACTTATGAGCCAGATACAAGAAATACATTGGGGGCAATATTCTACCTGTGAACAGCAAATACAATTATTTAATTGATAAATGTTATTCTGCAATTCTGAAAAATGCTAAAAATGAAAACTTTAGGATTCTATGAGACCACAAACTAAACAGATGACCCAGTTTAAGGTTGTCAGAAAAGGTTTCCTCTGAGAAAGTGACCCCCAATTTGGAACATGAAGAATGCCTAGAATTTATTGTCGTAGTTATCTACTGTTGTTATAACAGAAATACTGTAAGTGGATGGCATTAGCAACCAGAAATTTATTCTCTTTGAGGGCTAGAAGCCCAAATTCAGAGTACCAGCTCTGGGGAAAGGTTTGTACCCTCTTTCAGCATCCATAGGCCCAGTATTCTTTGGCAATCTCTGCATGTTTGGCATTCATCTTCCCCTGGATCTAAGAACTTCACAGTGCAGGGACTCCAGGTCCAAAGGATGCATTCTATTCCTAACTGTTCTATCTTGGTGGTAGTACGTCTCTCTGAACTCCTTCAGTTTCCTCTTCTTTTATATCTCAAAAGAGACTGATTCAAGATACAACATAATCCTGTAGATGGCATCTGGCCTGTGAACATCACAGAAGTGAGGATTTACAACACAGAATAATCATATCAGATCACATAATAAGGGTGATTTCATCATAGCAGATGTCTTCATGGAGGTAGTAACTATATCTTATCTGCTAAACTAATGAGAATCCTGGTCCAGCCAAGTTGACACAAAAGCTTAACTATCACAGCTAGGAACACAGGGACTAAGTGTATACACAGGAACTAAGGCAGTTTAATGTTTTAGAGGACCTTAATAAAGGATGGGATGGCTGATATAGCAGAAGCAAAAGCCACAAGATGAACAAGGGGTAGGTGAGGTAGACAGCACTTGAAGGCATACTAATGATCTGACCACAAGGTCAATAGTTTCAACCCACTAGGTGAGAACCACAAGGCTGTCTGCTCCCATAAAGATTTACAATCTCAGAAACCCGTTGGAGTAGCCATGCTTTGTCTTACAGGGTCTTTGTGAGTTGGAACTGACTCAGTGACATTAGGTATGGTGTTTTTAGTTTAAGCCTCTCTCAGTGGGGTGCCATGGAAGGGGTTAAAGTGGAGGAAAGACATTTGTTGGTAATCCATGAAGTTAAGAAAGGCCAAGTGACTTTTTGCACTGCCATTTTCTTCCATCTTGGTCAGGAATACAACTGTAGAAACTACCAGCCCAGCCAGATGAGTGAATCTGAGTTGCAAATGCTGGCAAGCTTACGTCGGCAACAGAACGAAGAGTTGGAGGAGGTGGGGGTTTCCCATGGCCTAAGTGCATCCCAGGTTGACAACTGTAATGTCAGCATAAGCACCAGCAGTGACGACACGACCACCTGGAACTCCTGCCTGCCACCCGTAAGTGCCTCATTTTGCATCTTTGTGGTATTGCCTTGTTGCTAAGTGACTCATAGTGAACCTGGATAGGGTTTCCAAGGAGTGGCTAGAGGGTTTGAACTGCTGACTCTGTGTTACTAGTCCAGTGCTTATCCTACAGCACCACACCAGGACTCCTTACCAAAGAGCAAATTTATTGCTAAAAAAGCCCAGCCTCATCTGAGAAACCCAGGGTCAGAATGAGAACTCTCCCCAGAAATATCGAGTCCATCCACAAGTAACAGTGTTTTAAAACTGGACACAGGAATTAGGAGGTAAGACTGCCCTTTCTTAAATTGTTCCTTCACTTTCACAAAATGTGAGTGGTGTGGTGATGTATAAAACCATATATGGAAACAAAGAAAGATAGAAAAATAAGAATAATTTTACTGTAGACTGTGGTTATCCCATTGTATCTTTAGCTCCTATCACAGGCTCCAACACAAAGAACAGTCTCAGTGTTTGTTAAATAAAGAATGACTAGCAAAAAGGAAAATACTAAAAATAAAAGAAAGACTGGCCTGGTCATCTGCTTCCTTAGAGATCACAGCCAGTTCAATCAAGCCTATGGCACAGTTCTACTCTATGACATGGATTGCTGTGAATCAGAATTGACTTGACAGCAATGGCGTGTGGTTTGGTTTGTTGTTGTTATTGGGTAGTGTGTATCCAACACTGTCCTAGGGACTGGGGATTTGGGCAGTAGAGATAAATGTTTTATTGAGCAAATACAAAATAAGTAACAAAATTTATCAAATAGAAAAAAAATCAGGTATAAGTAAGAGGAAACGACTATAAATATACTAAGTATTGCTTAGCTATCAGGGCAGAAAAGAACCTACTACAGAAGTCAAGGTTGTATTCTTTCACCATACTTATTCAACCTGTATGCTGAGCAAATAATCCAAGAAACTGGGTTCTATGAAGAAAAACGTGGCATCAGTATTGGAGGAAGACTCATTAACAACCTGCGATATACAGATGATACAACCTTACTTGCTGAGAGTGAGGAGGACTTAAAACATTTACTGATGAAGATTAAAGAGCACAGCCTTCGGTATGGATTACATCTCAATGTCAAGAAAACAAAAATCCTCACCACTGGACCAATAAACAACATTCTTATCAACAGAGAAAAGATTGAAGTTGTCAAGGACGTCATTCTTCTTGGATCAACTATCAACACTCATGGAAGCAGCAGTCAAGAGCTCAGACGACGTATTGCATTAGGCAAATCTGCTGCACAAGACCTTTTTAAAGTGTTGAAGAGCAGAGATGTCAGCTTGAGGACTAAGGTGCTCCTGACCCAAGCCATGGTATTTTCAATAACTTCATATGGAAGCGAACGCTGGACAGTGAATAAGGAAGACCATAGAAGAATTGATGCTTTTGAGTTATGGTGTTGGAGACGAATGCTAAAAGTACCATGGACTGCCAAAAAAACCAATAGATCTGTTTTGGAAGGAGTGCAGCCAGCGTGCTCCTTAGAGGCCAAGATGGCCAAACTTCGTCTCTCATACTTTGGACATGTTGTCAGGAGGGAACAGTTGCTGGAGAAGGATATCATGTTGGTAAGATGGAGGGTCAGAGAAAAAGAGGAAGACCCCCAACAAGATGGATTGGCCAAGTGGCAGCATCGATGGACTTAAGTGTGGAAACAGTAGTGAGGTTGGCCCAGGATCAGACATTGTTTCGTTCTGCTGTGCATAAGGTCACTATGAGTTGGTGCCGACTCGATGGCACCTAACAACAACAACATAGAAATCATCAGATGTTGATTGATGCCTTCCTGGGTATAGAGGACTATGGTAGGGACTGTGGATGCTTCAGAGACATAGATTCCCCTGTATGTGTATAATTAGCACTTTCACATATGGTCCATAATTGACACTGTGACCTGGCAGAGGAGGTAAAGCACATCTTAGTCTTCTTGCTTTTTAGGTAAAGAAATGGTAGCTGGGGGACCAAGGTTCCACACCTGATGAGATCTGATTGCAATTTCTTGATTCAGTCCATTCTCCATAATACTGCCTACAGAATCATATGGTTTAATTGGAAAGACAAAGCACAAACAGTTTTGTATAATACAAAAAAAAAAAAAGTCATAAAGGAGAATCATTATTATAGTAATGAAAATTAAAACTATAATTTCTTAAGCACTGAGAGCATTTTAAGATCTCTGTGGGTTGAAGGAATATTTAATTATAAGGCCACTTATGATGTCATACCAAACATATTAAAATACATTTTTATTCAACAGCATATATCACTTTTTTTTCTATCTGGTTTTTGAAAGGATATTTAAAATTATATTTTGGCTCATAATAAGTAATTGGTCTTGTAAAATTGTATCATGTGATCTCCAACGTCATTTCTATCACAAAGGCCATATTTTCCAAATACTGATCCATCTTTGTTTCCAACCTTTACATTCCAATCACCAGTAATGATCAATATATCTTGATTGCATGTTTGATCAATTTCAGACTGAAGGAAGTAGGTAGAATTCTATAGTTTCATTATCACTGGCTTTTATGGTTGGTGCATAAATTTGAATAATAGTGGTATTACTGGTCTTCCTTGTAGGTGTATGGATATTATTATATCACGGACAGCATTGTACTTGAAGATGTGTCTTGAATTGTTATTTTTGATGATGAGCATGATGTTATTCCTCTTGAATTTGTCATTCCAGCATAGCAAATAGCAAACCATATGACTGTGTGATTCAAAATGGCCAATACCAGTCTATTTCAGCTTAGTAATGCCTAAAATATAGATCTTTATGCATTCCATTTCATTTTTGACAACTTCTCAATTTTCAAGTGTTAACATATAATCAAGAACTGATGGCACTAAAGGAGAAGTACAAGCTGCACTGGAGAAATTGGTGGAGAACAAGAATTGACAGTATACAAATTGAAGTCTTTTGACAGCTGGATGTAGGGAGCTGCCAGAAATTCAAGCCAGATTCAAAAGATGACATGGAACTCAGGATATCATTGCTGATGTCAGATGGATCTTGGCTGAAAGCAAAGAATAACAGAGTGATGTTTACTTGTGCTTTGTTGACTATGCAAAGGCTTTCCATTGTATGAATGATGACAAGCTATAGATAACATTGTGAAAAATGAGTATTCTAGAACACTTGATCATGTTCATGAGAAGCTTGTACATACACAGGCAACGATTCTAACAGAACTAGGGGATACTGAATGTTTAAAATCAGGAAAGGTGTGCAACGGGATTATATTATTTCACCATACTTATTCAATCTGTATACTGAGCAAATAATCCAAGAAACTGGATTATATGGAGAAGAACATGACATCAGGATTGGAGGAAGGCTCATTAAAAACCTTTTATAGGGAGGCGGGGCTTGGTGGTGGATAGGGTAGAAGTGCTGTTGGCAAAACTACATAGTACCAGGCAAGGCAGGTTCAGGATGGAGCTCCAGAACTCTGGACCACATATCTAAGAATATTTGGAGGGTTTGAAAGCCTGTAGCTGGTGGAACATGTAGTGGAGGTAGGAAATCACGTACTTTTTAATCTGCTGGGCTTGGTGGCCTGGAGCCACTAACTTGGGTGAGACCAAATGGTAAGACAAAGCACAGGAGCACCCCCACCACAGAATAACACCTTAGGAACCTCGAAGCAAAGGTAGACAATACACTTTGTCAGTTTTACTTTGTTCTGATTTTCTTTTTTTTTTGGTATATATGTTCATTGGCCACCCATTGTTTGTGTACCTCCATTCTGGTGACTAGAGGGGCTGCCTAAGCGAGAGGACACCCCCCCCTCAACCCCACCACTGGTGGGTTCTTCTGCCACGCATGCACACTCTCAGCCCAAGAGCCAGCCCTGAACTATTTTTTTGTTTTGTTTTGTTTTTAAAAGGGAAAAGGACAAAACAAGGGGTGTGGAGAGGGAAAGAGTATAAAAACAAAACAGGCCAAAATTAAATTTAATCCTGAGGTATAGCATAACAACCAACAGTGGCATTTTGAAAT